CCTTAACTGTACTACTTATATTTACCACACGTTTAGTTATTTATATGAGGGGTGTTTTGAGAGCTATATATTTTATTCAATTGATCTGTTAATACTTATCCAAATACAATATGCTTTTATTTAATTGTTTAAATTATTTTTATTGTCTAAAGTCTTACATATGTCTCCTCTTCCCCCAATTGACCCCTCCCCCCAGCCATTCCCACCCCAGGCAAGCCCTCACAGTATGCTTTTAAATATTTTCACTTTACAAAGCTTTTGAAGTAAATCCCTTTTTATTTGATTGGCTTTCCAGGCTTTCTCAGCCATTCTTGATGCTTCTAGATGAACCTTGGAATTATTTCATCAAATTTCCAATTATTAACCTGGAAAAAATCCACATCTCTATGTTGCCAGTCTTCCCGGAAGGAACAGCAGATGTCTCTTCCTTTACTTTTATTTTTTCCCCGTCAACAATGTGCAACTTTCTTCCCAGGGGTCCTGTGTCTATCTTGTTAGGTCAATTCTAAGTATTTTATATTTTATATTTTGGTAAAGGGAACTTTTCTTTCCCTTTTATCCCTTCTACCAGGGTATTGTGGGCTCAGACAGAAATTACTAATTTTTGTATAATTGTGTTATATTTGGCCATGCCATGAAAATCCTTTATTAACTCTAAAAACTTTACATTGGATTCCTTTGGGTTTTTCAGGCACATAATTTATCAGCAAATAATTGTAATTTTATCTGCTCTTTTCCAAAGTTGGTTTCATGTATTCTGACATTGTCTAGAATTTCTAGAACATCAGGAACAAAGTTATGTATCTCTTTACTGCTGCCAATTTTACTGTGACTGCTTCAAGGACAGCGTTTCTCAAAGCAAGTTGTGTAGAAAGCTGATTAAATGAGAGAAAAGGTTCTGTTGAGAAATAGGTTTGAGAAACTGTGTGCTGATCCAGCTCTTAGAGCTTCACTGTGCACATTTCCATAGTGAAGTCTCTGAGGAATTTTGCTGTCAGGAATATCTGTTTTACTTTGTTTTGCAAACATTTTTTCAGACGTAAGCAATTGATCATGGAACCCCTCGAGTTCCTGTGTTAATACCTGTGAACATCTTAAGAATGAGCTATGCAGACACTTTCAGAGACATTTGATTCTTTTTCTACCTTTTAAACATGCTGGTTGTCATGTTCCCATCTGTTCCCATCTGTGCACAACCTCCCCTAATGGGCTTCCTAGTGACTAGTTTTCAGATTTTTAAAAAATCAAGAGATACTTTCTCAGCTCCTATGGAGCATTCAGGCCCTTTGCTCTGCCGGTGACTTCTGTGCCCAGGGCTTTCTCAGACTCCCCCAGCTTGGCATGCTTCCCTGCACTGCTCCAATGTCTTCGAAAACCGCTGTGGACCCCTCTGTCAGCCTCTCCCAAGCCATCCCCACTGGACTCATCGCCTTCTTCCCCATACCCTGTTTCTCATGGTCTGCATCGCCATCTACCTGGTGGCCCAAGGCAGAGACTCAGAACCTCTCCACTTTCATCCACTTAGCAACCACACTTTCCTGGTTTTCCCCCTCAAGTTCTCTTTAGTCTGCCCTCCTTTCTCCATCCCTGTGGCCTTGGCCCCAGCACAGCCCGCCACAGTCCTCCCTTCAACAGTGCCCATACTCTCCTAAGCCACAACCCCCCACCTACCCATTCTGAACACAGGAGAAATGCAAATCAGGGTGCATATATTTTTACAAATTAGTGGTTTTTGTCTCCCCTCAGGCCCGCCCCCCCCCTTCCCCTGCCAATAAATACACAGAAGTGGGATTGCTGAGTCATATGGTAATTCTATTTTTTAGTTTTTTGAGGAATTTCCCTCCTGTTTTCCACAGTGGTTGCACCAGTCTGCAGTCCTACCACAGTGCACAGGGGCTCCTTTTCTCCACCTCCTCACCATATTATATTAAGTAAGATAAGTCAGACAGGGAAGGACACTCTATGGAATATAAAAAACAACAAAAACCCAAACCAAACAAAAAGAGACTCATACAGAGACCAAAGGGAGGTTACTAGAAGGGAGATGTTAAAATAGCGAGGCTTTGTTCAGTTGAGTGACCAATACTGTGAAGGACTCAGACACTTATCAAGCCAAATAAGAGCCAACACGATGCCAGCACGGTAAGCAAGGAGCCTTGCCCAATTCCCAGGTTCTCTTTTAAATGAATATGGGAGCCACCGGTGCCCACACCAATGAATGCTTCTTCTTCCCTTTCTACTCCCAGGACCCCAAGTGTCCCATTGTCTCCATTGTTGGAAAGAGACAGGGAGGGGATAGAACTGTGCCCATTCTAAAAGCCTGAGGATTCCTCAGACACAGAAGGTCCTTGGGGAGGGGCCCCAGGCTGGGGCTGGAAGGGATGGAAGGACCAGATCTGGGGAGAGAAAGGAATCAGGGGAAGAGGAAACATGTTGATGGCTACTCCACTAGGGACGAGGGAGAGTCCAGAAGGACATTCCAAAGACCCTGCCTGTGAATGGAGGCTGGGCGGGATTCCAGGCATGGGCCTCCCCAGGCTTCCCTTCCTTGAGACCAGAGTGTGTCTAGGCCATTAGCCTGCATACTAGGCCGAGTACCTCTCACAGCTCCCCTGGCCAGTCAGTTGGTGAAGGAAAGTGTGCACAACGCCCCCAACTAGTGTCTATGGGCTTCATAGTGACCAGGTGGGAGAAGGTCCAGATGGAGCTCTCCCAGAGCTGCCCGTGCCCATAGCTCCTGTGCTTCCTCTTCTGCCCACAGAAGCACCCAGGTACAGGTTCCAGGTAACACACCCACTTAGCTTGGCTTCCTCTCTTTTGTTTCTAGGTTTGCCTTTTACAAGGCTTGTTTCGTGATCGATTCTATCACTTCTTTCTGTTTCTAATTTATTGATATCTGCTTTTTCTGAATGATGTCTTTGGTTTTGCTTTCTTTAGGTTGTGGTTTGGGTTGTTCACATGTGTTCAAACTAACTTCGCATTCCTTCTCTCCTGTTCATCTTGGAAAGCACCCACGCAGCGGCCTGTGATCTGCAGTGCACTGTTCGCCTTCTTTCTCCAAATGCTCTCATTCTTCTTCCTAGACCTGGTTTTGGTTTTCAGAGTAGTTGGATCTTCCATTTATGCACCCTTCTTCTTCCTCATTTTGGGGCACTGAGTCAGAGTCTAGAGGCTGGGCAGTTTTTTGCTGTATAAAAGTTGCTGATTTTTTTTTTTTTATGACCTAAAATGCTTTTGTAATTTTTAAATGTTCTATGATCCCTCAAAAAGAAAGCACAGCTTTTTTCTGTAGGACAGTGGTTCTCAACCTTTCTAATGCCTTGACCCTTTAATACAGTTCCTCATGTTGTGGTGACCCTCAACTATAAAATTATTTTCATTGCTACTTCATAACTGTAATTTTGCTACTGTTAATGAATCATAATGTAAACATCTGTGTTTTCCGGTGGTCTTAGGCTCTACAGCAGTGGCTCTCAACCTATTGGTCTCGAAAGTGTAGGGCAAGGGAAAATTATATAACTACGAATTTAACTTAATTCATTATATCACTTGAAATTTTTATGCTTATTAAAATGTAACGCGTTAAAGGTCTTGATAAGGCATGAGAGGTGACTGTAGGTAGGTTTTCACCAATCTCCTTGTTTTGATGGATGCTCTGGCAGGTTCTATGCTCTCTGTGTGTCTGTGGCTGGTGCCCTTACTGTGGCTACTTCCCTCATTTTAGAGAAACATGCTTCCCAGGGTAAGGAGGGTGGGTTCCAGTGCCCTTTTTCTGGATTTCACTGCGCCAAATGAGCCCTTCATTGTCATTTTGATACTGCACACCTTGTAAGTTGTGTGCAGTGGAATTTTATTTTTTGAGGCAGAGACTATCTGCTTTCAAGTGGAGGAGTTAACAATCCTTTACCCAATGACTACGCCTGAGGGGCTTGATCTTACCACGGTTTGATTTTCAGCACACTGAGTAAGGTTGGCCGGGGACTCCAGAATTCAGTTGCCAGGTCGGAAGCCTTTGGCCACTCGCCGGCACATCACTGTACTGCATTGAGCCTCAGTGTGCTTCTCTGTGAAATGGGGACCACCACAGCTCCTCCTCCCATCTGTCCTGGCATTGGGTTAATGTATAGAAAGTGCTTCTAAGCTGTCTGGTTCAGGATCTTGCTCAGTCCTAGCTGGCAGGCACTATTGGCATTCTTTCCTCACATCTCTCCTTATTTTCCACCTCAGCTATCTGGGGCGGGCTCTCTCTTCCAATGCACAAAACATGCATAGACCAATGCACGTTGCTGGGAAAGGTAGATCCAAGTTTTATGTGAGAGGAGGTAGGGAGGGCAGGACAGCCCTGTTGGGCAGAGGGTGAGCAGTATGAGAAGAGGAAGGCACACATTGAAGATGTGGGCAGGCATCAACATGAACGGTGTGTTAACTGTGTTCCTGATATCTTGGGCCTTGCAGACCGAGCAAGCAATCCAGAGTTCAGCCAAGCACCTCCTCCTCAGGCTCTCACACTCTGGGCCACTATCCCCGGCCCCGATCAACCCAGGGTGAGGCACCACACAACTAGAAACAGCCCTAAACCTGCTGAAATGATCCACACGTCAATCCCGCTCCTACTTACCGTGCCTCACCCATTCCTTCCTGCAGAAACCAGTGAAGGCTATCACCCATGTTTTCTCCTCTCTCATTTACCTCCGGACCGACCCAGGTGTTTCCCTATGTGGCCCTGTGTGGTGGGGTCTGTGGGCAATAAACCATTTTTTCCATGGCAGTCACCACACAAGAATAATAACAAAACCTACATCTAAAAATGAAGGGTGAGGGAGAAAGGGGAGCAGGACAATGGGATGGCTCACAAGCTCCTTGTGTCTTACAGAAAGTCCAGGGCAGCCAGGAGAGGCAGACTTGTTGGGCAGACATAGACACTTTTAGAGAAGCCCGTGTCTCACTGGGGGACCCACCATCCCCCAGCACACGGGGCGCTGGCCTGGGTGCTCACTTACCTTCCCGTAGCTGAGCAGGATGATCCGCACCAGGACCACATTGATGTGGGCCCCCAAGGACTCGTCATGGTAGATCTCATTGACCTGAAAGACAACCAAGGAGATGTCGACAGCAGGAATCTCAAGCCCAAGGACAAGTCCTAGCTTTGCAAATGACATCACTACCCACCAGCCCCCAGGCCAGAACATGTGAACCCCCCAGTTTATACCCCAGCATCACCCCAACCTTAAATCCAAACCTTCCTTCCTTCTGTGCCACCTGCCTTGCAGCCACTGTCCCTACCTGGATTGTGGCCACCCCCTCCTCAGTGCTCCCTCCTGCCAGCACGGGCATTCTCCACCTGGAGCCTGAACTTGGGCCCGGGCCCCTCTATTCGCACTAGCCTCTAACTGCATGTGGCCTTTCCTTCAAGGGTGACCACAGGCTACAAACTCCAGGGGCGTGGACAGTGCCAGGACTGTCACCAGTAGAAATCGCTCCACAGTGGCTGGTGCCGGTTATGAAGTCCTCCGTGTTCATCACTATTTGGAATCACCATCCCCTGATCTTATTTACGGTGTTGCTAAAGAACAAAGGAGCTTTATGGCCACAGTTAGCTAAATAGTAATAAGAAGGAAGAGAGCAAGGGAAGTCAGCCACTGTTAAGAACAGTCAGCAGGGGATACGGAGCCTGTCTGCTTCATTAGGAAACAGGGGATCCCAGCATTGCCCCCCAAGGATTATCACCCCCCTTTCCCTCTCCTGGTATTAGTACTGGATTGTCTGGGAAGCAAAAGGAGATGAGGACATTTGCAAGAGAAGTCAGAAGGCGCAGGGGGAGGAACCTGACCCAGAGGACTGTCAGTCTAACCTGGGAAAGGGGTCATTGACTTGGGGGTAGACTCACCAGAAGTCTGAGAAAGCTTGGGAAGTTGATTGGTTATTTTGAAAAAGCCCCTGCTTCTGTGAATATATACCCTCCGGTGAAGAATCTCTCTCTCTCCCTCCCTTCCTTCCTCTCACTCTTTATGACTCACACTTTGCCCCTTTCATTCGTTCTCTCCCTCCAGGAACATGCAACCATGCAGTTCTAGTGGCCACTTGGGACCCATAGAAGACTGTGCAGGCTCTGGAGGAACATGAAGCAGATACACGGGCCTTTGCCTTGCTGAAGATGTGATTGGAGCAGAGGGCGATGGGATATTGAAAATCCAGTGGACGAAATGGGGCCACATGCTAGCCTGACTAGCTCAGGGAAGGCCTGCGTGGCAGCCTTGCAAACTCAGAGACCTAAAATCACCACAAAGGATGGTCTGAAACTAAAACATTAACTAAAAGTAGTTTATGGTGTGTAGTCACATCCTAGGCTGGCATCTTCCCTGACAAAGGTCAGTCTTTACCTTTACGGAGCCTCTCTATTGCCTTTTTGCATCTATGATAACGTATCCTTGGAATGTCAAAGTCATTTTCCTTTTTCTAGAACCTTCAAAGCACAAGCACCGCTCTGCAGAGACCACCCATTCCCTCATTGTCACTGAGGGAACCGCTGACTATTAACTATCCTGCACCCACCTAAGTGAAAAAACATGTGTCTATAATTTTACTTTTTATCCAAGTCTAGGGGTTTTCCCACTTTGTTTTCTTCCACCTCCCTCATCTATCGCCAAGGAATTTCATTTAACCCACTTATGTCTCCTCTTTTGATTGTATGTATAAACCAAGGTGCAAAACTGCCATTCTCTGGAGCATTATCTCAATCCGTCAAGGGTCTGTTTCCCAGCAATTGTGGGCAGTATGGCTCAAATAAACTTACAAAAATTCTTCACAGGTTTGAATGTTTCTTCCATTAACACCAGGAAAGGGACTCCTTTGGTTTGCATAACCAATAAACCCAGCCACACCGCAATCACCTGTGCATGCATCCTTGCAATGCTTTTCTCGCGATCCGGGGAAGAGCCTGATTCCCACTACCACTTTCCCTGCTCTGTTTTGATACCAATGGCTCATATAATTGGCTTTCTTTGTATTTTATCACTGGTTTAAATACGTGTTTTATCTTTTGCATTCAAAAACATTATTCCAAACAGGCACCCCTGGGCTTCACCAGATGGAGCAAGAAAGGTGAGGGGACCCCATTCCCCACAGCACAGCCAGTACAGCCTTCTGAAAACGCTGGTCAGGTTACCCCAGGTTCAGAGCTGACAGAGCCTTCCTTCCCCTTGGTCCCGTCCCACCCTCTCCATATTCTGCCTGAATTAGCCCCTCACTGTCACCTCTTGCTGGCCGAGCAAACCCTCTCCTCCTGGCAGCCCAACCTCTGGTCACTTGCTCCTGGAAGGGCCTCCCCAGGTCTGATCTGCCCTTCAGCAAGCCCCCGTGTCCATGACTTCTCGAACTCTGTGTCCCCCGCAGCTGTGAGCAGCACAGGAACCTTTATTCCCCCTGCACGTCCCCAGCAGCACGCAGCAGGTGCTCAGAACCCTGAAGGAGTCAATCCCCTCAGGCCGCCACTTAGTGGAAGAGCATGACCTGGCCGAACCCCTCCCTGTGTGACGCCAAGCCCAGGGGCTGCTGATGGCGCTCTGTGAGGGCAGAGCCGCTCCCCGTCTGAGGACAGCACTGTACTGGCTCTGAACCCCAACTTTTACGGTCTCTATCTGAACAATGACAATTGCTACCTGTAAAAGTAGAAAAACCCTTTGGGAAATCTGAGAGTTAACAAGGAAAATCAAATACTAGTGGATCAAATACTTTCCTTTAGGGAAAGGGCAGCCGATAGACCTGCAGGAGACTATATGTCACCAGCACATGAGTCTGGAGAGGGTGGCTTGGTAGGTGGAGCCCCGGAGGCTCTGCCAACTCATCCACACTTTGCCATCACCTCTGTAAAACTGGGGTAAAAGTCCCTCCCTCCCAGAGCTTCCGAGGACTACATTCCCACACCCGAGAGAAGAAATGATGGTGAAAATGGAAAACGGCTGTATTTGTCACTGCCGGTAGCTCATACTGCGCGGCAGGACTCCCGAGGTTCAGGGGCAGAGTGCACAGCCCTGAAACACAGACATCCTTGCCCAGCTTCGAGGGCCAAACTAGATGTGAATTTTAGTTCACAGAAAGACAAGAGCTCTAAAAGCCTAGTCTTTTTTTTTTCTTTTTTCTTTTTAAGAGAGGAAGTGGTTTTTCTTCTTTAAAGCAGTTGCTTTATCCATCACCAGCAAAACTGGCCAATTTGGCTCCTGGAATTAGACTGAGAGGCGTGGTTTAAAAATATAGAAGGCAGTGACACAGGGAGGTCCCTCTGCAGCTGGAGGGACAGGAAGGGGCAGGGGTGGGGAGAGGCTAGATGGCATAAAAACAGCCTTGATACTTGAGGAAATGATAGGAGGAAGAGCTTGAACCCCGTCCCTGCCTGCTGGCTGGAATCTGGGGGATGGGTTCAAATTTTGGGGTGGCTTCAGAGAGCAGAAATGGAGTCATGAGCCACTTCAGCGGCAAGAAGCCTGCAAGGGCAGCCAAGCTCCCAGATATGTTTGGGGATCCAGGGACAGTGAGCAGGACAGCTGGGGGACACAGGTAGGCCTCAGAGAGAGCCCAGGCTGCTGGCCTGCAGGAGTGGAGGATAGACCTCCTTGCAGAGAGTGAGGCCTGGAAGGCCACTGCCCAGAGCAGAGCATGCTGGGACAGATGTGTGCAGATGCAGGGCAGCCGTGCCATGCACACACACCTGCCCAGAGGGAGGAGAGACAAGTGACGAACTCATAGGTTGAAACCCCAACCCCCAATATAATGGTGTGAGGAAGTGGGGCCTTTGGGAGGTGACTAGGATTAAATGAGGCCATCAGGGGGATGCCTATGATGGGACTTTGGCAGTGGAAATGGGGCTTTTTCACGGGTTTGCAGGGAAAGCACTCCGGGAGAACCACGTCTAGGAGGTTGAGGCTTTGTGGGGAGACTTATTGTAGAAGCAAAATCAAATGACTGCCCCTAGGTTCCCAATGTCCCATCCCTGTCTGCCCGCCAGGGAAAAAGTCCAATCTTGTCTTCGTCAGCCCCATAAATAGGGCCAGTGCCCAGAGACTTTTGTGCCATTTGTTCAGTGCATGTCTGTCCCCATTGGGCTAGCATAGTCTGCTTTCGGTTGTGAGCCCCCCGATGGGGCCACAGGCCTCAGGTGGCTGCTAGGGCCTCATATGCAGAAAGAACATGCTAATGAATGGGGCACACATGTAGAGAGAGAGAGAGAGAGAGAGAGAGAGAGAGAGAGAGAGAGAGAGAGAGAGAGAATATCATTCTTCATTAGGCTGATTATATCATCTCAGACCTGGGTAGGACCAGTTCCTTTTTAAAAATATCCAATCAACTTGCCAAGCTTTTGCAGGCTTGCCCTGGGCCTTCCCTCTAACAAATCCATTTCCCAGATCTTCCAAGGTTCTGCATCCCTTGTCCAATTTGATCCCTTTCCCAGGCTAGACTGATAGGCCTTTATGGTCGTCATCTTGGTTTCTACGGTACCACACACATGCCTCATAGGAGAAGCACCTCCCCCTGTGCCATCTTGACTTCTACCGGGCATGCGTCCAGCAGAGGACTTTCTCCTGCTGTTTTTCCTTCCTTCCTTGGTAATCTGGGACATAGAAGTCCCTGAGAAGCTGTAAGTTTCCTGGTGGAGCAAGCAGGGTCAGAATCCCACTTAGCTCTCCAGTTTATTAGGCTTAATAATGTCGGATTCCCTTTGCTTCCTTCCTTTATTAATATTTAATTACCTACGCTAACAGGATTAGTGCCATGATAAGAAGAGATGCTAGAAAGCTGTCTCTCTTCCCTTTTTTCCCTCTCTTTCTGCAATGTCTGCAAGCCAGGAGGAGAGCTCTCACCAGGAACTGAATTAGCTGGCTTCCAGCCTCCAAACTGTATGATGTAACTGGGGCTGGTTAAGCCATTCAGTCCCTGGTATTTTGTTACAGTGGTCAGAGCTGACTATGACAAGCACAGAGTGGAACCTTAATTTCTGATCTGAGTCATACCCCGAACAGCTTTTAAATGGGAAAAGCCTAAGCCATCTCCCACGGGCCAGGTTACACTTTTCTTTCTATCCTATGATGAG